TCAGATTAGTGGGAAGTAGATTATAGTATAACTATTTTTTTAATTCTGAAATTTTTGAAATTTTGTCTAACATCATATGTGTGAGTATGTATGTGTGTGCATATATTTTTAATACGGTATGTGTGCGCATGTGTCTGTTATGCTAATATGAAATTTATTATGTTGTTCTCAATCAATTCAAACTTGAGCATTAAAAATGTACATCAAAATGAAGCTTCTTTCCAAAGTTTATTTTCCTTGGACTGGACTGTCAATGATGAGTATTTATTAAAGACTTGTCGTGTTTACTGGTCAAGCAACGGCCAACCAAGTAACAGTAGTTTGAATAGTGACAAAAAAAAAAAAAGCAAAGTCAGTAGATAATTCTTTTATGTGAAAAACAGGAAGTAAAATAAATGGAGAATAAATAAAGAAATCGGTTAGGAATGCAAGTGAAGAGGAAGAGAGGAATTTCATTGAAGCTATAAATGTCCAGAGAAAATGAAAATGAAGTAATAAATGCAAGAATTAAAAAGAGAAGGGAAATAATTGTGTGTGTGTGTGTGTGTGTGTGTGTGTGTGTGTGTGTGAGAGAGAGAGAGAGAGAGAGAGAGAGAGAGAGAGAACAACAAAAAAGAGAGTTTTCTAAAAAAAAAAAGCATGTAAAAAAAGAGGAAGAAGGGATGGGCACAAATTGGAATACATAGAGAAGAATGAGAAGGAGGAAGAGGAGGGAAGGTAACAATAGAGAGGAAAATAGAAAAGAAAGAGAAAGAGGAGGAAGGTAATGATAGAGAGGAAAATAGAAAAGAAAGAGGAAGAGGAGGAAGGTAAAAGTAGAGAGGAAATAGAAAAGAAAGAGGAAGAGGAGGAAGGTAAAAATAGAGAGGAAAATAGAAAAGAAAGAGGAGGAAGGTAAAAATAGAGAGGAAAATAGAAAAGAAAGAGGAAGAGGAGGAAGGTAAAAGTAGAGAGGAAATAGAAAAGAAAGAGGAGGAAGGTAAAAATAGAGAGGAAAATAGAAAAGAAAGAGGAAGAGGAGGAAGGTAAAGAAGAAAGAGGAAGAAGAAGGTAACAAAACAGGATAGATAGAGTGGAGTAAGGTAGAGAAAGAAGTAGTAGGCCACCAAAGAGGGATAGGTAGAGAGGAATGTGAAAGGAAAAAAAGAAGGAACATAACAAAAGAGAAATATGTAGAGAGGATTGGAAAAGTTTTAAAAGAAGTAAGAGAAAAAAAATGAAAAAAGCCTCACACCCAATTGTTTTAGAATTCACAGTTGTTGTTCTCTGAGACTGGTGACAAACCAAGGCTAGAGAGCCCAGTCTGCCCTACTATTTAACTCATAGCTGGGATTGGGAAAATAGACGAACTCGTACGTTCTCCAAGGTGTGAAAGTGAATTGAACAAACTTGACAGGAATTTGAACTTAACACACTAATTCCATTTTCTGCATGGATAAATAACTGTTATGTTATAAATGTAGAAATTTTTTTCTATTTCTTAATCAGTTAGTGCCTTCTACTTGGGTACTCCTGTGTACAAAATACGTGTGTGCCAGCATGAACAGATTGTTTCCTTCAATTTTACCTTCGGCATGGAGATTATTAGCGGTCTGGAAAGAGAAACCAGCAAGCTGAGTTTGAATTCCAACCAAGTTTGTTATGTTTACTTTTGCACAAATACCTTGGGAAAGATATGAACCCATCTCTTCTCCCCACAACTATGGGTTAAATAGCAGACCTGAGGTGGTAACCAGTCTAATAGAAGGAAAACTCTGAATTCAAAACCACCCTAAAGTGTCATGGGCTCTATCACACTATCTTGTTGTAGACACACCAATGTTGTTATAGCTGCAGTACATGAAGTGTCCCTATGACTCTAATGAGTTATGGGATGCAGGATGTGACTATTTTGTATAGTATGTTTTTTATTTTTCAAATAATTTTCTCTGTGTCATGTTTATTTCATTCCAGTTTATTATACTTAGATACATATTTTATAAGTTGAAAAATTCCCATTGGTTTGACTATTCAAGACAGCACTTGTATTTGTAACAAAATAGTATAATTTAGAAAAAAATCCTTCATAACAGGTTATAAAAATTATATATCTGCTCTGTAGCCGCTCTGTTTTCACTTTCCAATCTTGACAAGGTTCAAAAGTGTCTACATGGTCTTGTGGGTGATGAATTATTTTCTACCTCACAATTCCTTTCCCATAAGTGAAACATTGCAAACTGCTTGATATTTAATTGCTATTTCCATAGAAAATATTCTGATGATCTACATTCTTTAATTCCACCAACTTACAGCTACGACTTGCCATGCTACATACATTGCATCAAGCTATCTGCATTCCCTTCGTATTTCATTAGTAAGAAAGAAGTTCCACTCGGACAGCTTCTTTACATGAACTGTTACTTTGTGGAATCAACTCCAAAAGGATGCTTTCCCAACCACTACAATCTTAACAACTTTAAGTCAAGAGTAAAACTGTTATCTTTCCAAAATATCCTCACAAACTGCACCTCTTACCACCGGTATAACAATCTCCTTCAGTACCCCTCCTGAGCCTTGCATTAGTAAAAAAAAAAAAGAAGCTAAATTTTTTAAATTTTGAGTTTGTCCTTAACTAGAAAACAATTTCAGTAATTATTAGTTTAAGCTGATACAAATTTATTTTGTATAGTCGTTGTTCATTTTATTTTGTTTCTTAATTAAAAAACAAATATTTGCTTCAGAGCGAGAAATACAAACATTTTGAGTTTCTTCCTTATATAATGCCTGAACATGCTTGTCTTGGAGTAGTAGCTGGTCAAAAGAAGGAAATTTCTGAATTCAAAATCAAACTGAAGAGGGATGGTCTCCATCTGGCTTTTTTGCTCTAGACACACTATTGCTGCTATAGCCGCAGCACATGCAGTGTCCTCATGACTAATAGATTTGGGGGCTCATGACATGTATTTGGTACAAATACACATGCTACCTGGAATAGAATTGTCTCCCACCTCCTACATTTCAGCTATGTACTCTTCAACCACTACTCTCAGGTGATGCCTATTCATCCATCTCTTCTCATACATGTTGTGTCCAGTTTTTGCATCACTTGTAATCATAGGTTTGCCTTCATGCACAAATCTATAAACTGACTTTGTGACCCCTCCCACTGAGCTTTGCATGTGAATCCCCACCCCTACTAAGTCTCAGGCAATACCCCTGGAAATACAAGTTTATTTCAGAACATAACAGATACCTGAAGAAGGTCACAGAGTTCACAGCTGAAACACTGTAAAAACAAATAAGGAAATTAGATCAAAGAAAACCATCAGACAATAATTAAAACACTCTAACAAAATTCAAAAAAGATTTCTCTGATTTTTGCACAGAAAATGTGCTGTAATCTTTTAAAGAAATTGTTTCTTCCAAAACTTGTACTAACTGCTATATTTTCTCTCTCTCTTTTATATTACTCACACTTGCTTGTTTTATTTATTCTTTTATTTCATCCGAAAACCCAATGATTCCAAAATCATGGGGGCATCTAGGGCAGTGACAAGAAGAGACGGACACTGTACTAACAGATCAATAATACCAGGGTGAATATTTTTCGTGTGAAAATCTCAGTTCAAACAAGTGCAGCAGTTGATGCACTCACTGCCACCCTCAGAAGCACAGTCGTGTTAGCAGCAGCAGCATCAACCGAAACGAGTCTATCCCACTGCCACCTCCCCATAGCACATTTTATTTCTTTCTTCTCATTTTCTCCCTCTTTTTTTGAACTGACATGATCAGTGCAATATTTTTCATTGTCAAGGTACTCCACTGCTTTCTGTTTCTCCCAGCATCCCTCCGTGCCAGCTTCCCCTCATCTTTCAATTGCCACAACCCCGACACCTATCGCTCTTTGGTATATATTGTTTTGCACTGTTGCCGTCACTGACAAGGGACTGCACCTTTGTGCATCACTGCATGCATGCATGCAAATTCTTTCACAGTTGCACTTGCCAACTGCAGATTATTTATTTTTTTGCAAATATGGTTTTATTTTCACTTTTTGTGCTCCCCCTCATTCCCTACGAGCCACCCTATCATTTATAGACAGCACCCGCCTCCTGTCTGCTTCCCTCCCTCCCTCTTCATTAATCTATACACACTTTAGTGAACTGTTGATTTTTTCATTATTCCCCCACCTCAGACCTACAGTCTACAGGTTTCTTTGCTGTGTAGAGCCTCAATTACATCCCCCCCACTCCCAGCCCAAATCTACAGACCTCTATATGGCATATAGATCCTCAGTTAACCACCTCCTCCACAAATCTATAGGCCTCTACAGGCCATGTAGAACCTCAATTAATCCTGTCTCCACAAATCTGAAGGCCATGTAGATCCTTAATTAAACGCTCCAAACCTGAAGGCTTCTACATGTCACATAAATCTTCAATTACCCCCCACTGCCAATCCGCAGTCCTCTACATGTCACATAGACTCTCAATTACCGCCCACCTCCACAAATCTGTAGGCCACATAAATCCTCAGTTACCCCCCCAACACCCACCAAATCTGAAGGCCTATATATACCACACAGATCTTTAATTAACCTCCTTAAACCTGCAAGCATCTACATGTGATCCAGACCATAATTACCACCACCTACATGCCATGTAGATCCTCAAATGATTCCTGCTGGTCTTATATACAGAAATTAACAGATTATACATCATGAAATTTTAATAGCTAGCTTAAATTTATTTTTCACTGGATGAACTTCAATTTTTTTTTTAAAACTAAATCTGAAAGCCATATTCACAATGTTTTGGCCATTTTATGCTCCAGCTTTCTTCAGGTGATTGGAATTTCGAACTGAACCCTTTTTTTCATCCACCATGGTAGATTGTTCTAGTTCCATGTGCCATGACTCTTCTGGATGTCCTCAGGGACACGTGGCACAGTGGATAAGGGTGTTGGTTAGATCCAGTGACTAGACCCAAAAGAGTTGTGAGTTCAGTACCAGGCTACAGTAGTGCTGAACCAAAACACTTGAGAGAGTTGAGTTAAAGGGAAATAGCTGAGACGTCCAGAAGAGGCATGACATGTGGAACTAGAACAATCAACGCTGTGGATGAAATAATGGGTTTGGTTAGAAATTCCAATCACCTAAAGAAGGCCGGAGTGTACAACAGCTGAAATGTTGCGAATATGGCAATGAAGATAAGGATAACTGTCCGAATAATGTAAATGATGTAAGTAATCATAATACCTCATCTCAGAGATATAGACAGATAAAATAGAAAGAAGAAGAAAAAAAATTAGATAAAAATAATACATTTGGGTTATAGTGAAATTAAATTTAATTTCCAAATGGATATTTTTGAGTTATAAACCAGAAATTAAAGTTTCCTTTTTATAGTGAGACTGAAATTTTAGCTAATTATGTCATTTACCTTATTTGTGTCTTATCAAAAAATTATTTTGGAGTAATATTTTAGAAAAAGCCTACAAAATCATTATTCAGTTTTAGTAATGCTAAGCTAACTGAAATATTAAACTATCTCAAATAATGGCAAATTAACTGGAATTTTGACTGACCTCAAACTGTTTTGGATGTCATTAATAAATCATTTTTGTGTAAGAAATAAAGAAAATCATCTCTACAGAAAGAATAGTTTTATCAATGGTAATGTAAGTGGAATTTTAACTCCTTCGAACCTCATTAATAAATTATTTTTTTTTAGAACCAGAAAAATGTTCGTCACCATTCATTAGTGCCATTTGACTCTCCTGAAGAGAAGGGCAGGTGGCCACAATTTTTACTCACCAAGGCAGGGTTTTTTTTTTTTTTTTATAGTTACCCTTTTCCTAGATTGGATTATGACCACATCACATTGAAACATTGGTTTCCGTATAATTACCGAAGTTAAGCAATGTCAAGCCTGGTCAGTACCTAGATGGGTGACTGCTTGGAAATATCATGTGCTATGGATTAATTAGTAAGATTTGTATCAATAAATCATTATTATCTCAAAAAAAAAAAAAAAAAAAAAAAAAATTCTTACAATCTAAAAAGAATATTTCTGGCTTTAAATAATGTGGAAAGAGTTGATAAGCTGTAAAAAAAAATAAAAAAAATGAATGAATCAATTAATTAAAATTCTCCCAGATTGGTTAGGGAGCTCAGTCTACCCAGCTATTTAACTCATAGCTGTGGGGAGAAGAGATGGAATTATATATTTCCCAAGGTTATTTGTGCAACAATGGATGTAACAAACCAGGCTGGAGTTTGAACTAATGGCAACCATGCACACATCCAGAGAAAGTTTAAGCTACATAAATGAGAATTCTGTAAACGCATTTCTCCCTTGAACCTCATTGGTAAGTTATTTCATTTTGTGCTCTTTGGGAGATTTGAAGAAAAATGGTTAAAATGTTATTTTCTTGGCTAATTACAAAAGAGAGTGACTATTTCTGAGTCGTTTAAGTCCAAACTAGCACTTAATGAGTGAAATGTAAATGAAGATGTAACTTGGAAAATAGTCATCTGTGTGTGTGGAAGGTCATATGAGGCAAGAAAAGGTCACCAGGTTGGTAGATAGGTGCAGAAACCCAATGAGTTCAAAAATATTATGGGTGGGGGGGTTCTTAAGGTTTGGGGAGAAAAAAAAAAGAAAAGAAAAGAAAGAAAGAATTTCCACTGTAGTTATTTGTACTTGGTTGAACATCTGTAAAAAGTGGTGGGATGTGGCATCCAAGAAAGAGCCTGTTTTACTCTCTCTCTCTTATTTTCTATCTCTCTGTTTTAGTCTCTTTCATTTTTTCTCTCTCTTTTCTTCTCTCTGCTTTACTCTCTCTCTCTCTTATTTTCTATCTCTCTGTTTTATTCTTTCATTTTTCCTCTCTCTTTTCTTCTCTCTACTTTACTCTCTCTCTCTTATTTTCTATCTCTCTGTTTTAGTCTCTTTCATTTTTTCTCTCTCTTTTCTTCTCTCTGCTTTACTCTCTCTCTCTCTTATTTTCTATCTCTCTGTTTTATTCTTTCATTTTTTTTCTCTCTCTTTCTTCTCTCTCTTTTTTACTCTCTCTCTTATTTTCTATCTCTCTGTTTTAGTCTCTTTCATTTTTTCTCTTTTTCTTCTCTCTGCTTTACTCTCTCTCTCTCTTATTTTTATCTCTCTGTTTTATTCTTTCATTTTTTCCTCTCTTTTTCTTCTCTCTCTTTCTCTCTCTCTCTTTATTTTCTATCTCTCTGTTTTAGTCTCTTTCATTTTTTCTCTCTTTTTCTTCTCTCTGCTTTACTCTCTCTCTCTTTTTTTCTATCTCTCTTTTTATTCTTTCATTTTTCTCTCTCTTTTCTTCTCTCTACTTTTCTCTCTCTCTCTTATTTTCTATCTCTCTGTTTTAGTCTCTTTCATTTTTTCTCTCTCTTTTCTTCTCTCTGCTTTACTCTCTCTCTCTCTTATTTTCTATCTCTCTGTTTTATTCTTTCATTTTTCCTCTCTCTTTTCTTCTCTCTACTTTACTCTCTCTCTCTTTTTAAAAATATCTCTTTTTTATTCTTTCATTTTTTCTCTCTTTTTCTCTCTTTTTTTCTCTCTCTCTTTATTTTCTATCTCTGTTTTATTCTTTCATTTTTCCTCTCTTTTTTCTCTCTCTCTACTCTCTCTCTCTCTTATTTTCTATCTCTCTGTTTTATTCTTTCATTTTTTCTCTTTTTTTACTTCTCTCTTTTTTACTCTCTCTTTTTCTTCTCTCTACTTTACTCTCTCTCTCTCTTATCTCTCTGTTTTATTCTTTCATTTTTCCTCTCTCTTTTCTTCTCTCTGCTTTACTCTCTCTCTCTCTTATTTTCTATCTCTCTGTTTTATTCTTTCATTTTTCCTCTCTCTTTTAACTCTCTAAAAAAATACTCTCTCTCTCTTATTTTTTATCTCTCTGTTTTTATTCTTTCATTTTTTCTCTCTTTTTCTTTTTTCTCTCTCTCTTTATTTTCTCTGTTTTATGCTCTTTCATTTTTTCCTCTCTCTTTTCTCATTTACTCTCTTCATTTCTCTCTTCTCTCTACCTACTCTAAGATTTATTCCCTCTTTCTCGCATCCTGATTTTGTTTATGAAATTTTTTGGGGTTCTTTTTAAAAAATATTTTCCTTCCTCTTGTTTTCTTTTTCCATTTTTCTTCTCTTTTCACTTTTCTCTTTATTTCTCTTTCTATTCCTTGACATTTTTCAGGTCCAGCTCTACCATATGACGGCAAAATATAGTGCAGCCAATAATCTGATTATTTACAATTAGACTAATATCCTCATCTTTAATGTCATTCTCACATTGTTCTAGCTGTTGTCTCACTGACCCTTTTTTCTCTGTCAATCCGGGCAACCTTCAGGGAATTTCAATCTGACAATAATCAAAATTTAATCTATGGCACCAAATTCTTTTAGGCTATTGCCCCCTAGCATAGTGATTGTGAGTTCAATCCCTGGGCCAGGCAGTACAGACACAGACTCTGTAGTAAAAAAAATAAACTATCAAGGTTTGTAAAATTTTATTTTATTTTTTTTCTATAAAATATTTTGTTACAAGCAAAATAAACTTTCTCCATTTTTAATTTTGGGTTTTACAAAGTTCAGTGCATGGAAGAAGATTGTAAATTTGAGAGAGCATGCTTGCCTTGGAAATCAGAGTTTGGTACTTTGGTTTAACCTCACACACTGACCACTGGTTCTGGTGGAAAATAAACAACTATCTAACTCATTGTAACTAGCCTTTAATCAATGCAAAAATTACCCAGCACTTATTTTGATTAATGCATTACTTAGAATGATTATTTTGCTACTTTTGCATATGTAAAAAGTTTTCTGGGGCAATAATATAAGTGATAGTTGGCTATAAAAAGGCATTGTTGATTATTTGTGGCAAATTTGTTTGAATATTACATTGACTATAGTTTGCGTAAAGTGGCAATAATTTTAAGTAAAATGATACGCTAAAATAAGTAACCAAGTAATCGTTTAAGTTCTCTAAATATTGGTGCATTTAATCAATACTCAAGCAGCAGTCATTCTATACCCACTTACACCATCCTTTACTACTAGATACACACCCCCTGTAAAGAGACAGGAAGTATAAAAATATAAAATATAAAAGAATAAAAAAAAAATAAAGAAGCATTTGAAATGAGTAGGAGGAGGGTGTGAAAAGTGCACCCTTATCAAGTAGACATCTCTTTTTCTTCATTTTCCAAGTAAGTTTTTTTTCAGAGTATAGGGAGAGATGTTAGAAGTATAGACTTTAGAAGGAACTGGAAACCCAATCTCAAAGAGAAAACAAGTAACAAACATCTACTCCTGCTCAAAAGATTGGGGATGGGTGTGAAGCAGACAATAGGTGAACCTATCTATTCAAATTGAGGAGAGAAAAAAAAATTAAACAAAATTTCAGAGTTCAGTCAGAGACATTATAAGTATAGAATGGAAGTAGACTTTAGAAGGAACTAGAAATACAATCCTAAACAGGAAACAAAAGATAACCCTCTACTCCTGTTCAAAAGACTATTATTGTATTGCTTTCTATAGCTTTTCTTTCACTTTATATCTTTTTTTCTTGAAATAAACCTATTGACTGTGTGGTCGCCATTATTGGAGGGAGGATATTTAGACCTGCAAGGTTTCTATATAAAATGCAAAGAGTACATAATATTTCCTTGTGTATATTAAATACACAATCAAAGGTTTGTAGTAAATGATGTCAAAACCAACAACTAAAATTTGATTAAAGTACAATATAAAGTATGTAATGCACTAAAAGATTCATTTCAAATTTTAACCGCCTGGGATTAACAATGCAATGCGATAGGGTTACTTTTAACAATGTCTTTATGTAAAGTTAGTTGCGCAGAGGTTTTCTGAGTCAGAATGATTTTGATTAATTTGCATGTTATAACAAGTAACAAAACAAAACTAATTTTAATATGCACTCTATAAAGTTTGTCAGTGAACCTAAACCATTTCATTGATTTTTGAGGCTATGGTCCCAAAAGTAGGTTAATTACTTTAGAAATGGGATTCAAGCTAGAATGGGACAATTTTTGTGTTTCAACCCTTTGCGGGTTATTTAAAGTTGGAACATATTTTGGATTGTAAGAATGATTTTTTTTCTTTCTTTTCTTATGTTAACAATTTTTTTGAGAAGTCTACTTATGGCCATATCATGTTGAAACATTGGTTCTTGTACGATCACCCAAGTTAAGCAGTGTCTAGCCTCATCAGTACTTAGATGGGTAACCGCTTGGGAAAACCAGGTGATATAAGTTTGTATGTGCAGTTGTTCTAATGGATAACAGCTTGGAATTGGAAATCGGAGAGCCGAGTTCAATTCCAGTTGGGTTCATTATATTCACACAAATACCCTTTGGAAAGTTATGAATCTATCTCTTTGTCTCTCAGCTATGGGTTAAATAGTAGAACTTGTATTAGTAAAAATCATTATTATCCCTCACCAAAATCTTACAATCTAAAAATATTTTCTGGCTTTAAGCAACCTGCAAAGGGTTGATAAGCAGTAAAAAAAATAAATCAGACAAAAAATCCTACTACTTAATCCATAACTGGTAGAATGGTACAAGGTCACAGGTGTAAGGAACTCAGTCATGATACAAGTAAGGGTCTATGAGACTAACTTGAAACAATTGTACTACAGTAGGTGTCCACTGTGTATGCGTATACATACAAATATATGTATATATGTCTTTCTTATTTTGGCAAAACAACATTTATATGAGTCATATATCATCAACAAAATTTTTTTTAATGAAATAGAGACCATGAACAATGATTGTTGTGAATAAGACTGTCCTTTTCTAGCCTCTAGTACCGCATAAGGTACCAAAATGAAAATAAATGAAACTGAGTAGGATATGTAAAATGAATTTCTTTTTTAAATCCTGTTAAATCCATAAGATTTTTGTTTGTAGATGTTCTGTTTAAAGATTTCAAAAACATTCCCAAAGAAAAAAAAAATTATGGACAAATTCTAAGAGAAAAAAAAAAAAGAGACAAAAACAGTGAAGAAGAAAAGAGAGAAGCAAAATAAAAACAAGAGGATAATAGAGAGGTAGAGAGAAAGAGCAAGAATAAAAGGGAGGGAAAGAGAGAGGTCAATAGAGGAGGAGAGAGAGAGGTCAATAAAGAGGTAAAGAAAGAGAAAGAAGCAGAGAGAGAGAGAGAGAGAGAGAGAGAGAGAGGCCAATAGAGAAGTAAAGAGAGCAATAGAATGAGACAGGCGAATAGAGATGTAAAGAGAGAGAGAGAGAGAGAGAGCCAATAAAGAAGTAGAGAGATAGAGAGAGAGAGGCCAACAGGTAAAAGATTGGTGGGGGAGAAAGACAGAGAGAGAGGCCAATATACAAAAGAATGGTAAAAGATTGGGGACAGAGAGAGAGAGAGAGAGAGAGAGAGAGAGAGAAAAAAGAGGCCAATAGACAAAAGGATGTTGGAAAAAGAGTGAAAGAGAGAGAGGAAGTTAATAGACAAAAGAATAGTGGAGAGAGGGAGAGGAGGCAAGAAATAATATAATGGAGAGTGTGAGAGAGAGAGGTCAATAGACCAAAGAATGGTGAGGAGAGGGAGAGAGAGAGAGAGAGAGCAAGAGACAGAGAGAGAGAGAGAGAAGGTAGTAGATATGTAGAAAGTGAGAGGAGGACATAAAGAGAATGTGAATATGTGTGCGTTAGATTTAAGACTAATCTAAAATGTGTGCGTGTTTTTTGTGATGTCACAATTGTCTGCTTATCCCAAAACTAGAAAGAGAAGAGAAAATTGTTTATGTTTAAAATGTCTAGACAAAAGTAGCTATATATATATATATATATATATATATATATATAAAAATGAAAACATAAAAAAATATATCTTCAATATTTATTTTTTTTCGGGTGACCATCTTCTGCCCACCCAACTACATACCACTCCCTCCTCAAATTTCTTTTGGATAAATAATTTTCTGTTGTTTCTTTTGTCAAAACTCATTACCAGTTATTTTTGGTAGACTTTGGGATAGGGGAGGTATGAGAGTAGTATGGAGAGGTGGTGGGGAGGAATGAGAGAGAAAGCGATATTTATTAGAAGCAGAGAGTGAAGAATAAAAAAAAAATGAAGTTGGAGAAACAAGAGAGAAAGAGGGAGAGAGTAAGAAAGTGTGTGTGAAAAATAAAGAGATAAAAAAAGAGAGCCAGTGAGAAAGTACAGAAATAGAGATAGAAAGAAGGAAATTAAAAGAGAAAAGAGGAAAAGAAAGACAAAGAGAGGTGAGGGGCAGAGAGAAAGAGAGAGAGAGTCAAGCAAAAGAGAGATAGAAATAGACTATGTGCATGCGTGTGTGAGAGAATAAGGAAAGATAAAAAAAAAGTCAAATGAAAGAAAAAGTACCGAAAAGGAGGGGGGGAAAAAGATGGCATGAAAATAGAGGAGGAGGAAGAGGAGGAGAAGAAAAGAAAATCAGAAAAAATGGAATAGAAAGATAAAGACAGGTGGAGA